GATCACCGAGGTGAGGATCGGGATTTTGGTTAGGGGTCGGAGAAGGTATCACGTTATTCATCACGAAATCCTAGAAACCGGTTGATAGACTACAGACTACAGGCTACAACGCTTCAGAATACAGACTACAAACTACACCACAAGCTATCAAAATATAACCACGAAATTACGGGACATCACACTACAAAAGGGGCACGAGAAACGCAGACTACAAACTACAAACTACAAGCTACAAGCTACAGACTACGACGGCTACAATTACATACTACAGACTACAACAGGACGACACAGCGGGCTACAAACTACACTAGAATACGCGCTACGAACTACAACACAATACGTAGCGACCACAGTGTATAAGCTACAGAGTACAAACTACAAACTCCAACACCCCGCTCACCGCCCTCTCCCTGAGAATCATGAACACCGTCTCCTGGAGTGTGTGTGCTCGATCATTGCACGTCTCCAGCGTGAAATGGTGCATGTGGATGCCGAGCGGGTCCAGGATTTGTCTGCAAACGAGCAGAGGGCATTTGGGGAATTTGTCTCTCTTTCTCTTTAAAAGTTTTTGGCAAGCTAGCAACGATTATTTGGGAATGTAAAACGTTGAGCTCGTAATCTCAAAAATCACTCACTCATTAGCATATTGAGTCGCGAATTTCCCCGCTTCGCTTAGAATCACTTGATCCGGCTGGATCTGATCGCAGGACGGCCCCAAATTTGTAGTATAGAGCCCGGCGACCATGAAATTCCTGCCGTAACCGATTGCGGAGGTTGGCACGAAGCCAAGCAGTAGAAATAATAGGAATTCCATTGAGAAAATGTGCTCATAAAAAACCGATAAATCAATTTGAGGGGGCAAGCGGCTTCTGCTGGGGCTTATCTCTGTGTTTTTGGCTTCCGGGAAGCCGCCGAAAAATCAGGAGGGAGGCAGAGAGAGAGAGAGAGAGAGAGAGAGAGAGAGAGAGAGATATGGGCCAGCTGGCAGAGAGAATTAGGAAATCGTGTTTTAGAAAGCTATAAAAATTCCGCAGGGACCCTCTGCCAGGCTCGATTCCGATCGATTCCCTAAGAAAACTTGCTAGTACGCCTAACGCCTCTGAACGGCGCCGAGACGAAAGGTACAAATTACGTTTAATTCCCGCCAATAGTGACAATCCGAAGAATATAGCACTCCCCAAGAATCCCTGCTAGTACGCCTAACGCCTCTGGACGGCGTCTAGCCGAAAGTACGAAATGCACCGAATTGCAGTAGGAATGCGCAAAATACCATGCGCCAGAAAAATGCTAAAATTCGAAACCTACCGTAATCGATTCCCAAAGAATCACGGCTAGTCCGCGTAGCTCCCTTTTACCGAGAAGCCTCGTAAAAAGTAAAAAAACCTACCGTAATCGTTTCTATAATTGATGTAGAGGTACGGTAGAGTGCAAAATTCCACGTTTTCCAGTCAACGATAACACGCAATTTTTGAAAAACGAAATTAAGAAAAACTGCCATTTTTTTAAATTTTAAGCCCCTATAGACCCATTTAAAAGTTTAGCTAATTTTCAAAAAAAAAGTTAAAATTAAGTATCCCCTCATAAATACCGTAACCCAACCCTAAATATGCACAAATCATGCACAAAAATATACAGTACCCCAAAACCCTGAAATTCATCCACAAAAATACAGTAACCTTTCCCCAAAATGTCTTAAAAATTCTAGAAAGGCTCAAAATACAGTAACCCTTACACTAAACTACCAAAAAAAAACTAGAAAATATCCCCCATGCTGGCTCACTGCTTCGCTTCAAGGCCCATCTAGCCGTCGACTTGTCGTAAGCAAGCTAGCAGGGATCCTTGGGGAATCGTCTCTTCTTGATGATACAAACCTGAAGAAACAATCAATTATGACATGAAAATGCTTACCAAGTCGCCTATTGAGAAGATCTCGCGGGTCCGTCAGCAGAGACCATTGAGGAAGTTCTTCTCGAGCGGGCAGGCTAGCAGAGATCATTTGAGATCCGGCCGGGTCCGAGAGAACCTGGAAAAAGGAATGCATTACGATATGAAAAACAGAAAACCAAATTTTTGTTTTTATTCTCAAAAAACCTCTGTTAGCCTGCCCTGATGCCTTATTTTTCGCTAAGAATTTCTGCTAGCTTACCCTTTCGTTTTGAATAAATATTTTCCCCAAATTTTCTGCCAATTCCCCAAAGAATCCCTGCCAGTTTGCTCTTCTCGAATTTCTCCGGCTGACCACCGGAGAGTGTTCGGGTGCGCCGTTTTTTGTTTGCAGAAAAATGGAAAAACTCTTGGAGGGGTGAAATTTCTAGAGCGCCGGACTTCTCACTTCATTTTCTCGCCTCTCTCTCTCTCTCTCTCTCTCTCTCTCTCTCTCTCTCTCTCGCCTAGCTAACCCGAGAATGGCGGAAAACAAACTTCTCCCCAGGGTCGAGGGCCCTATAAAATGACCGGAAATTGACCGGAGAGCACTTCGGAAGTCGATTACGATACTTGCCGGCATGCAGACGTGAGTTTTTGGCATTTTTGTGCTTTTAAAGGGACGGTGACACCTATTTTGAGCTCCTAAAGGAACGGTAACACCTAGAAATTGCCAAATCCCGATCGAAAATCATTTTAAAGGGACGGCGACACCTAGAAATCTCCCGAATTAGCGCCGGAAAATGATTTTAAAGGGACGGTGACAGACAGATAAGCCCAATTTCAGCCTGACCCTACTCTTCGCCCTGTTGGCGGTCGCCTCGGCGCAGTATTACTACACTTACCCGTATTATTACTACTACCCCACCTATTACATGCCCGTGAGCACCGCCGGAGGATCGACCAACACCCAGCAGGTAAGCTAGCAGGGATTCTTTGAAGAAATAGTCCGAGTTGTTAGGCTAGCAAAGATGCTTTAAGGGCCCGAAAATAGCGGGCAAGCTAGCAGGGTTCATTAGGAAAGTTCAAAAAACCGGAAATCACGATGGCCGGCTAGCAGAGGTCATTTAGGACGCCTGGCGAGACGCGGCAGGCTAGCAGAGACCATTGGGGACCCTAAAACGAGCGGGCACTCTATCAGAGACCATTTGAGAAGGTAAAATGGTTGGGCAAGCTAGCAGGGACCATTTAGGAAGTATTCAAGACCCTGTAGGCTAGCAGAGATCCTTTCCGGTCCGAAAGCGCGGGCAAGTTAGCAGAGACCATTTCGGAATTCGGAAAAGAGCTGGCAATCTAGCAGAGACTATTTGGGAGCCCCGAAATTAGCGAGCAGGCTAGTAGAGACAATTTGTGTGTCCCGAAATGAGCTGGCAAGCTAGCAAAAACCTTTGAGAAACCCGAAAATTAGGCAAGCTAGCAGAGACCATTAGCCCCAATTTTCCAGAACCAACAACAATCCCAGCAGTACCAGCCGCAGCAGCAGCAACAGCAGCAGTACAGCCAGAATTCGGGCGTCGGCACCGGGGTCCAGTATGATGCCAGTACGTTCATTTTAGCTTTTTAGAACTTCAAGGTTGTTTAAAACGACTTTAAATGCTAAATTAGAGACTCTAAACCTTACAATTTTTCAAAATTAAACTTATAAAGTCGAAAAATTCCAAAAAATGTTCGTTTTTTTCTAAATTTCAATCCTTAATTTCGATTTTCTATTTTTCTACAGTATTCTACAGAGCATTTTACAGTTCATTAACCACGAGCTAATTTAATTAAATTAGTCAGACTAGATAGTTGCCATGCTAATTTACTAACAACTTTCATTTTGTAATTTTTGCGTTTTTTCGTCATTTTTAAACAGCTTCCTAACCGTTTTTCGCCTCTTTCAGCCAACCAGAATGGTCAGCAACAGTACGGCCAACAACAGCAGTACGGTCAGCAGTACGGCCAGCAGTACGGCCAGCAGCAGCAAAACGGGCAGACCAACATGGGAAATGGCGTGCAGTATGATGCCAGTGAGTAGCTCGACTTAAGGCCCCTTAAAGCTGCCAAATTGGCTTCAATGGACCTTTAGACTGCTAGCAAACTACGCCTAATCAATTACGGCATGAAAACCGCCTTGTCTAATCGCTAGGGCTAAAAAATCGATTTTTCTGGCCTCTAAACCTGAAAAAATTGCCTTCAATGGCCCTTTAAAAATGAGCTTAGGCTTAGGCTTAGGGCATCAATAAAAAAGCCTTCGACTGAATCGATTACGGTATGAAAATCGCGCATTTCAATCGATTACGGCATCAAAACCCGCTCAAAAAATCACCTAAAAGCCGGGAAAAACCAGGTTTAATCGATTACACCATGACAACCGCACTGGCCAATCGGTTACTCCATCAAAAGTCGCTTCGCCGACCCTTTAAACTTCAAATAAATTAGTTCTAATCGATTAAGCCATCAAATTATACTAAGTATAACCGATTACGACAGGAAAAATTAGCTTCAATGCCCCTTTAAACTCCAAAAAAAACCAGGTTTAATCGATTACACCATGACAACCGCACTGGCCAATCGGTTACTCCATCAAAAGTCGCTTCGCCGGCCCTTTAAACTTCAAATAAATTAGTTCTAATCGATTAAGCCATTAAATTATACTAAGTATAACCGATTACGACAGGAAAAATTAGCTTCAATGCCCCTTTAAACTCCAAAAAAAACCAGGTTTAATCGATTACACCATGAAAACCGTTCTGTATATAGATTTCGACACGAAAAAGTCGCTTCAATGACCCTTTGAACTCCAAAAAAAATTAGGATTATTCGATTACGCCATAAAATCCTCATTTCCTAATCGATTACGGCATGAAAATCCTCAGTTATCTAATCGATTACTGCATGAAAATGTGCATGTTCCCAAATTACAGCTAACCAGCAGCAGTACGGTACCAGCACCCAGTTTCCCCAGTACGACGACAGCCAAATGACGAACGCACAGCAGCAGCAACAGCAGCAGCAGTACGATTACGCCAATGGACAGTCCACGACGCCCTCGCCATACTACAGTACTTTTTAAGGCGATATTTTTAGTGCCATACCTCGAATTTCTAGAAAAATTAGCCTTCAGCGGTCATTTAAACAGGAAAACCCGGGTTTAATAGCTTACTGCATCAAAATCTGACTTCACTGGGCCTTTAAAACGTGAAAATCGTCATTTTTAACTTGTTTGAAACCTAAAAATGATTACCCGAAATTTTACCGTGGTTTTAAAGGGGCGGTGACACCCAAAAATTCGCCAATTCCAATTGCATGAAATCTGCATGAGCAGCTCTAACCACTTGCAGATAACCAACAACAACAGCAACAAGGGCAGCAACAGCAATACGGCCAACAACAACAACAACCTAACCAACTTCAAAACGGCCAGCAAATGCAAACAAATACCCGACAATACGACTCAAGTTCGACGCGTTCAGGGGCCCTTTAAAACGACTGGTTTTCAGGCAACAACGGTCAGCAGCCGCAGTACAACACGCAACAGGGACAGACATCAAACGGTGCGTTTCCTCAAATGTCTCTGCTAGCCTGCCCCATCCCGAATTCTTCAAAGAATCTCTGCTAGCCAGCCCCATCCCGAATTCCTCGAAGATCTTTGCTAGCCTGCCTTCAATTTCCAAAAGAATCTCTGCTAGCCTGCCCTCCATTTTTTCAAGAATCTCTGCTAGCTTGCCGCATCAGAAATTCCTCCAAAAATCTCGGCTAGATTGCTTTAAATTTTCAGAAGAATCCCTGCTAGCTTGCGCTTCCATTTCTCGAAGAATCTCTTTAGTTTGCTCCAAAAACTACAATTTTTCAGGCGCCTCCACGAACCAGGTGGCCTACGTGCCGGTGTCGTACTACTACCCCTATTCCTACTATTTGTACGGAAGAAAGTAAAATGCAACTCGGGATATCCGACTACAAACTCCACACTGCCCCCAACACGCTACAAACAATGCCAAAAATGACTCAAGTATTCGATTACGCGATGATATTATGTGTTCTACGGAGATTGGTGTACGATAATAAAGAGATTTCTATATTTAGATACCTTACGTGGCAGAGTGACAGAGCGAGAGAGATAGAGAGAGATAGAGAGAGAGCGAGAGAGAGCGAGAGATTTTGCGAAACCTGCCAGGCCCAGGCAATCTAGCAGAGACCATTTGCTAAACATTCCAGAGGTCATTTCCCGAGTTCGGGAAGGTCCATTCTGTTTATTTGGCCCCTGCTGCCGCCTAGTGGCCAGCTATTTGGCACCTATCTATTTGCCCATCTACTCGGTGCTCTCTCTCTTTCTCTTTCACTCTCGCTCTCTCTCTCTCTCTCTCTCTCTCTCTCTCTCTCTCTGCCATTCCTTCCCCTTCCGATCGTCGACCACCGTAACCACAGCGGAAAATTCGGAAAAATAACTAGTGAAAAATGGCGAGCGAAAATTTTGCGAACAAATAGAGCCTTCCCTCACTTAGAATTAGAAACTTGGATGTTATGCTAGAAATTGTTATTCTCAGGGGTCGAATAAGGGCATGCTAGCACAGATTCTTCGGCAGGGTAAACTAGCAGAGACCATTTAGGCCCCCTGGTTGTTCAAAAGGTAGGCACTCATATTTTCGAAACTCATATTTTCGAAACTCACATTTTCGAAACTCGTAGTTTCGAAAACTCATATTTTCGAAACTCATATTTTCGAAACTCACATTTTCGAAACTCGTAGTTTCGAAAACTCATATTTTCGAAACTCATATTTTCGAAAACTCATATTTTCGAAACTCATATTTTCGAAAACTCATATTTTCGAAACTCACATTTTCGAAACTCGTAGTTTCGAAAACTCATATTTTCGAAACTCATATTTTCGAAAACTCATATTTTCGAAACTCATACTTTCGAAAACTCATATTTCCGAAACTCATAGTTTCGAAAACTCATATTTTCGAAACTCATATTTTCGAAACTCGTATTTCCGAAAACGGTTCTTGCGTGGGGGGGACTGAACTTTTTTCCGCCCAAGCCTAGATTTTCTATATAAATGGTGGAATTGTTTCTAAACTGTTTACAGCTATTCCTAAGCATAAAACTTTACAAACTTTACTAAAAAAGAATTAATGTTAGGTCGAAAAATTAATTTTTTCGACCAAAAAACGACCAAATTTTCGACTTTTCAAGCGTTTTTCTAAACTTTTAAAAAAGTTTTTCCTATGCAAATAGGTTCCTTTTTTTTTCGTATTCTCCCCCCGGATACGCAAGAACCCCGAAAACGACACTCATATTTTTGAAATTCATATTTTCTTCGGTTTTCTTAAGTTACCCAAGCCTATGTAAAGCTGTAACTATCAGTTTTCGAAAATATGAGTTTCGAAAATATGAGTTTTCGAAAATATGAGTTTCGAAAATATAAATTTTCGAAAATGTGAGTTTCGAAAATATGAGTTTTCGAAAATATGAGTTTCGAAAATATGAGTTTTCGAAAATATGAGTTTCGAAAATATGAGTTTTCGAAACTACGAGTTTCGAAAATCTGAGTTTCGAAAATATGAGTTTCGAAAATATGCACGCAAATCTGTTCAAAACCACGAAAACTCAAAACTTCAAAAAATCATAGCAACTACACCAGGGCCTTTAGGGCTTCGGACCAAACATTTTCAGGGACTATTTTTGACGCTCTTTCAGATGCAAATCAAATGACGTGTTGAAAATGCCCGATTGGCCTCAAATAGGCCCGGAAAGTAAGGAAGGTCCGGATGGGGCTTTCCGCGTGCCAAGCATTGCCAGGCAGGCCAGCAGAGACCATTTGCAAAACATCTAAAACCCTGATATCGCTGCATTTTCCGTCACGCGCAGAGCGTACGTTTATCAGGAGCCCATAGCAAAATAATGCAAAGCAAAACAACAGCTGTACAATACATTTTGGGTCCACAATTTCATGTCGTAATCGTTTAGACCGAGGTTCGCCACCGGCGCGCGTAGTAGAGGTCAACCGGATGCGGGGAGGAGCTACAAGTTTAAAGGGAGCGTGACAGGAGGGCTATTTTAAAGGCACTGTGAAAAGAAGGTGAGGGCGTGCCAGGCAGGTGCTGATCAGCGCTTTGTTCGTAATGGTAAAACTGGTTAGGCATTTTAAAGGTGGAGTGACACCAAGCCACATTTAAATGGACAGGGAAGGCATTGAAAAGGGGATTTAAAGGTTATAGTTTAAGCGCATTAATGCCAAAAGCTTAGCTGCGTGGCTAAGCCGTTTTAAAGGTGGAGTGACAGGTAGGTCGACGATTATTTTAGGGGGATCTAAAGGTCGCCTGAGCCGTTTTAAAGGCAATGCGACATGTGAAGCCCTTTTAAAGGTGGAGTGACAGGTAGGTAGAAGAGCATTTCAACGACAAGGTCGCCCGTGTCGTTTTAAAGGCAGTGCGACATGTGCCATTTTAAAGGTAGCGTGACAGGCAAGTGATGAAGCCAGTGAGCACATTAATAGCAGTCCAAATCTCGATTATCGATCGTTTCCGGCAGCTAATAGTGAATATGGTGATTGGCCCTGGTCGTCGTCACCGGGTAGCTGTCGCTGGCGCCCCTTTAAAGGAGGTAATGGCAAAATGTCATTCAAAAATGTTAAAAACCCGTAAAATGCGATATTACGGTAATTCTAAAAAATTATGGCAAATAAAAACTAACCGATCTTTCCCGGCAAACGTCACGCCGATATCTGCTACATAAAGCAAAGCGGAGAGGAAATAAAACGCCTGAAATTCTATATTAATATTTTTTGTATTACCTAAATGATTTAATTGATTAATTAGTTTAATTAAAATCTAAAAATATTTGAAATTTAAACGAATTTAGCTCCAAAACTTATTTTCTCGCTTCCTAAAAATTCTTAGAATTTTTCTTACCGCTGCTACTGCCCATCCTTTCACTACAAATTCGATTTGACAGCCCGGCAAGCCCGCGCAACCGGAAAATACCTAAAATTTTAATTTTTCCGAGTCTTAAGCTTTCCAGGCTTTTTAAAGGACCATTGAAGCCAAAAACCTACCCCATTTCCAATAGCCTGGATGAAGAAGGCCATGTGGTCAAATCCGGTGGCGTACCTGGAATTTTAAGGGTCGCCGTTTACCTGCTAGTGCTCAAAATTCCGCAAATTCTAGCTTGCTACCAAATTTTTAGACTCACCATGTCTCAAATCCGCCCATTATCAAAAACGCAATCACCGCGACGGCCGCGTAGAACATTTGCTAAAAAGAAGCACAAAAAACTTGTTTTTTTTTAGAGCTGTCACGCTCCCTTTAAAACGCCTGGACTCACCGGGTACATCAGCGAATTCCCAGTGCCGAGGTGGACGCAAGAAAATGCGAGTGACGCAAGAGCAAAAATGAGTGATACGACGATAATAGCCACTTGACCGTAGACACTAGAAAAAGGGGAGGAAAGTTACAGTCCCTTTAAAACGGTAAAATTCTTCTCTATATGTTACGCTCCTTTTAAAAGGGAGATCTCGGCTAGCTTGCCCTTAGTATGCGAAAATTCATCGCAGAGACAATTTCAGAGCGAAAATTCCTAAAGAAACACTGCTCGTTTGCCTAGCACAATTTTTGCTAGCTTCCCCTAGATGCTAAAAAAACTCGTAGCAGAGAACATTAAGGATCCGAAATTAATCAAAGGTCTCTGCCGGTTTGCCAAGCCAAAAAAATCCGCAAAGAATCTCTGCCAGTTTGCCTAGCCGCGATTTAGCGTGCCAAGTCGCAAAAATGCGTAGAAGACATATTTAAGGAATTTCCTCACAGAATCGCTGCTGGTGTCCCCCAATATCCTCAAAAATCTCTGCTAGCCACCCCTGAAAATCACCAACTTCTCGCCTCTCCCCTGAAAATGGAGTCCATTGCTCCATCTCTCCGCATTCATCGGGAATATACTATTTTGGCCGGGGCAAATCTCTCTGAAATATTCAGCCTTCAATGGCCCTTTAAAATCGCTACCTCGAGATGGGAGTCCCATTAAGATATCGGGAAAAGCAGGCCCCGGGTGCTGTCAACACCAAGATCATAGAAACGATGCCCAGAAGCTAGAAAAGATTGTAACAACACGAAAAAACTGAGAAAACCGGATCCGGACCGGCAATCGATCGAAAATGGCCAAAAATTCAGGTAATTTCGAAATTTGCATAACATTTTTGCGCCTAAGCATAACCTAAGCCTCAGCATAATTTTCGCGCTACCCACTAGTCACCCACCTGGCCCACTGCCAGGGCGTATAACCGGGGGAAATCTAAAAATTTCCCCCGAGCCAACGCGGAAGCCTTAGCCTATCGATTTGGCCGATTTCCATGGTCGACCTCACAAAGTGACAAAAAATTTTTTAGATAACCGTGTCCGGGCGTTCCGGATCCGTTTTTCCACCTTTAAAGGACCATTGAAGGCTGCCGAGCCCCTCCCTACCAGAATAAACACACGAATGGCGAAAGAAATAGCCGCAAATGTCCTCGGCGTGGAGCTCATTTCATTAGTATGTAGCGAATCGATTGAATGGATGTTTTAGAGTATTTAAAAGTAGCGCATACAGGGTATTAAACCCAAATATAATAGAGTCGAATACACGCGTAAAATCGGCGTCGATAGTTGAAGGGGGGCCCCTGAAAATGGTGGTCGAGTGGGGGTTGAGTTGGTGGTAAAGCAACGGGTAAACAAAAATCGAAAGTACGCCATAAAAAAGGCATAAAACAGAAGCAAACGGTCTCTGCTAGCTCGCCTACGGATTTGAAAGAGCCCCAAGAATCCCCGCTCGTTATCCCGAAGGTCTAGCTATTCAAAAAGTATTTGCTAGCTCCCGATTTCCGCAAGAATCACTGCTACTTTACGAATCTTCCCAAGGATCTATGCTAGTTAGTAGTTACGAAAATCAAAGAATCCCTGCTGGTTGGCCTGAATCCCTAGGAATCTCTGCTAGCCTGCCAATTTCCCTTAGAATCTCTGCTAGTTGCCAAGGTTCCTCAAGAATCTCTGCTAGCCTCTCAATTTCCCGAAAAATCTGTGCTAGTTGGCCCACCAATTTCTCAAGAAGCCCGGCTAGCCTCCCCAATTTCCCTAAGAATATTTGCTAGCTCGCAAGTTTCCCCAGGAATCTCTGCTAGCCTCTCTAGTCCCTCAATGATCCCTGCTAGCCGGCCCTATCGATTTTGAAGTCCAAAACCATTTAAAATCTCAAAATAGACAGTATAATACGCATATCAATAACGTATGCATCACCCTATAGCTGTCATTGTGAACCAGGGGGGAGGGGGCGAGAGCGGAAACCGGTCGAAACAAGGTGGCTACTACTATACCTACTGATTCTCGCGCGGTGGCAGTCGCGCATCGATGGGCCCGAAAAAGAGGGTTTTTCGAATGGGGATTGAGCGAGAGAGAGAGAGAGAGAGAGAGAGAGAGAGAGGAAGAAAGAGACGCGGATTGCCGGTTTGTCACCCCCCCATAATACTTTCGAAACCCAAATCGAGAGTCGTCAACAGTACACGAGTGGAAAATTCTGGGAATCGACAAAAACTACAGTAGTCCCGATTCCACAAGGATCTCTGCTAGCCTGCTGGGTAGTTAAAAACAGTATTTGAAAAAGTAGGAAAGCGGAAATTCTAAATTACCGTAACCTTCGCGTTAAATACAGCCTTCAAAGACCTCTGAAACGATTTTAGAAGGCTTCCCAAAGGGTCTCTGCTAGCTTGCCATTTCCCAAAACATCCCTGCTGGTTTGCCCGGTTCCCCCAAAATCTCTGCTAGCCTGCCTTATCCATTTTCATGCTCAAAATTATTCAAAACCTCAAAAATGCATCCAAAAGCGTCACTGCTAGCCTGCCAAGAGAAATTGGTTACGACCATTTCCTCAATGATCTCCGCTAGCTTGCCCTAAATACAGAAGGGTGAAATAGCTTCATAGAGCCACTACAATGCCCTCTAGCTTCCCCAAATGACCTCTGCTAGCCTGCCCCCTACAATAGTACAAAAGTGAAACGCTAGTGAAAATATAGACAATGCCCGGGTCGGGTCTCGACAATGCCATCGGTGGATAGGCGGGGGGATGGAGGGGCGATTATCCTCCCCTAGCCAGAGAGAGAGAGCGAGAGAGCGAGAGAGCGATAGAGAGACCAACGCACAGACCGTAGCCAACCGGAATGTTGTGGAAAATACCGGTTGACACGGGTGGGAATGGGCTCGAGTCCCGTTATGAATCTCGATGAGTCAGTGAGGCCAAATTGGGGGTTTAAAGGGGTGGCGACAGGTCGGGAACATCGTTCCTCAATGGTCTCTGCTGGCCGCCCCTAGCCGAATTGCAGGGCAAGCTAGCAGTGATTCTTTGAGAAATTGAAGGCCAGGTGGCAGAGGTCTTTGAGGAAGTTGAGGGCAGGCTAGCAGAGCTCCTTAAAGGAATTTGAGCGGCGGGCAAGCTAGCGGAGATTCTTTGTGGAATTGGCGGGCAGGCTGGCAGGGATTCTTTGAGGAATCTGAGGGGCAAACTAGCACAGATTTTTTTGAGGAAGTTTAAAGGAGGGCAGGCTAGCAAAGATTATTTGTGCATTTTTTTTGTATTTTGCTTCCCAACTCTATTATGTTCAAACCAACGCCAGGAGTCTCTCCATCTCCGTTCCATCCTAAAATATGCCCCCCTCAGGGTCCCTTCCCCCAAGCCCCGCCCCCTCCCCGATATGACAAATGGGCTTTTTCAGGACGTTTTTGGGGGCCATTCCCGGAGTCAACTGGAAGCGGATTTTCGGGATTTTCAAGCTGGCTTCCTCAGGAATCTCTGCTAGCCTGCCTCTGGAAACCATGACCCATTTTCGTTGTCCTTCGATGCATTGCCCATTCTTTTTCTGACCTTCCTGAAGTCGGTGTTAATTAGAATTCAGTGCGTCGAGAGGGGAATTGAAAGCGAGGGTGGGATGGATTAGCGATCCAGCCAATTGAACCGGAATCCGGACTTAACGGGTGTCTGATTTGTCCTCAAAAAAAAAGAGCAGCTGCTCGAGAACCGCTAGAATTCAGTGTGTTTTGACTTCAGCGTTCCTTAAAAGCTCTAAATTTTTTTGAAACGCACTATCTTTGCCTTCACAAACCCTTTAAAACGACCAGTAGACTCCGAAAACCACCATAATCCATTAGCTTTTGCCTTGACAGTCCCTTTAAGGTGTCGTAACTGGCTCCCAAAACAGCTTGCGACTTCACAATCCCTTTAAAGCTGTCAAAGTAGTGGAAAATCGTCATATTCCTGTAAATTTTGCCTTCACAATCCCTCTAAGATTTTGTAATACATCAAAAATCGATGGAAAAAACCAATTTTTGCCTAAATAAACCCTCAAAACTCTATAAATCTAATCGGTATCGACGAACCTTATCGAATTTTGCCTTGATAACCCTCTTTAAAGGGTTAAAAAACACGGCACAATTATCTTAAAAGCTTTGTAATCTTCCTCAATGTTCTCTGTTAGCCTTCCTGGCCGCCGTAACGCGTCAAAAATGGCAGCAAGCTCGGCTTTTGCCCTGAATTCCCCACAACGATCCCCGCTAGCTTGCCTCGTGACGGCAGAGCGTAAAAATAGTAAATTCCCGTTATCCCGGGTGGTGTCACAAAGATCT